TTGAAAGACCCTCCAACACCACCCCATCCCCGCCCCACCACTGGTGACCCTCGGTCACCTCGCAGACGCCGCAGCGCCGGCGCTTGGTGGCGTTCTCCTTGTCCTCCTCGCGCTCGTCCTTCTCGATCTGCTCCGAGAAGAAGGTGTCGAAGATGAGGTACACCAGCTTGGTGGTGGTGGCCTTGGTGGGACCCTTGTCCTTGTCGATGCGCGTGGGGTGGCGGATGGCCTGGCGCCGCACGGCTCGCCTGCGGCACGGGGACAGCGCTCAGGACACGCCCGGGGACGGGGACACCACCCCGGGGACACCCAAGGGTGCCAGGTGGGGTCCCCAAAAGGTGTGGATGGATTTTGGGGACCCAACCCGGCGTCCTTCCCCCTCTGGAGCAGCATCGGGTTTGGGTTTGCCCAATTTTGGGAGGATCTTCCCAATTTTGGGAGGGTTTTTGTGATCTTGGGAGGATCTTCCCAATTTTGGGAGGGTTTTTGTGATCTTGGGAGGATCTTCCCAGTTTTGGGAGGGTTTTTGTGATCTCGGGAGGATCTTCCCAATTTTGGGAGGGTTTCTGTTCTGATTCCCAGCACTTCTCATGCCACTGAACCCAAATCCTCACCAGTTTTGGGAAGATTTTCTCGATTTTGGTTGGATTCTCCCAATTTTGTGGGCACAGAACCCAAACCCTCCCCAATTCTGGGAAAATTCTCTTACTTTTGAGGTCCCACTTCCCAAATTTTGGTTGGATTTTCCCAATTTTGGGGTTTTTGCCCCCAGGTGCCCTCTGGGATGCAATAAACACAGTTCATTATCATATTGGTTTTGTAGCAATTTTCCAGAGTACAGCTATGCTTTGAAACTTTATGCAGAAGAAAGAAAAGAAAAGAAAAGAAAAGAAAAGAAAAGAAAAGAAAAGAAAAGAAAAGAAAAGAAAAGAAATGAAAAGAGAAAAGAAAAGAAAAGAAGGAAGGCAAAAGAGAAAGAAAGAAAGAGAAAAAAGGAAAAGAAAGAAAGAAAGAAAGAAAGAAAGAAAGAAAGAAAGAAAGAAAGAAAGAGAAAGAAAAAGAAAGAAAGAAAAAAAGGAAAGAGAAGAAAACAGAAGAAAAGACAGAAAAAAGATGGCAAAAAGAGAGAATCAAGAAAAAGAGAAAACAAAAGAAAACAAGAAAAACCAGAAAAACAAAATAAGAAAGAATGAGAAAATGGAGAAAAAAAGAAGAAAAGAAAACGGAAAAAAGGGGGAAAAGGAGGAGAAAGGGAGAAGAAAGGAAAAGGGAGAAAAAGGAGGAGAAAGGGCAAAACCCTTGAATCCCTTCCCCCAAAAACCTCAAAAAAAGCCCAAAATAACCCAAAACCACCCGAAAAAAGCCCCAAATTCCCCCAAACTCCCCCCCAGCCCCTCCTCACCCGTGCTGAAGCCGATCAGCGCCTTCTCCCCGCCGTCGAAGCCCGTGATCCACCAGGCGTTGATGGGCCCCAACTTCTTGGCCCTCACCCCACCTGGCAAGCCAAAAAAATCCGGACAATTCCCACCTGGACATCCCGAAATTCCCCGGAATTCCGGGCGTCTCCTCACCGTCCAGGCAGGGGTTGTCGTCGTAGATGGGTTTGACGACGCCGCTGAAGTAGAGCTCGATGTTCCTCTCGATGAGGCCGGTGTCGAAGGGACAGAGGTGTCCCCTCTTGTCATAAACGCTGCCGGGGGGGACAGGGAGGCCGTGGGACACCATTCCAGAGGGAATTCCGGCGGGAATCCACCCCGGGATCTCACCTGAAGGAGGTGACTTTGTGCTGGGGGAGGTCCTCGTAGCTCTCGAAGCCGTCCTCGTTGGCGTCGAAGATGGACAAGCGCTCGTCCGTCAGCATCTCCGGCTCCTCCAGCTGGATTTGGGGGAAAAAACCCAAAAAATGGGATTAAGGGATATTCCTGCTTCTCCTGAGCTCGGGGAAGGAGGGTTTGGATCCCTTACGGCGTCGTCGGGGTCCCCTTGGAAGAATTTGAGGTCGGGGTCGTCCAGGTACTGCCGGCAGTCGAGGCATTTTGGGGGGGTGGTCTGCAGGAGAGGGGAGGGAGAGTCAGCTTTTCCCAAAGTTATTCCTGGAATTATCCTGGGTTTTGGCAAATTCTGGGGATTCCCATCAGAAGCAGCCCCAGCTGTTTGGTTTTGGGAAGCTGAACGGGCTGGAAATGGGTTTGTACTCCCACAGGATAATCCAGCCTTTGGAATAATCAACTCATCCCAAAAAAAGTTAAAATTTGGGAGTTTAAGGGATTAAAAAATCCCAAAAAAAACTGGAATGAGGACGGACTTACTTTAGCAGGAGCAGTGATTTTAACCTGAGGGATTTCATCTTTGATTTCCGACCTGGGAGGGAAAAATGAAATGCTGGGATGAGGATGGAGCAGTGACGTCATCGTTGTCATTGTCACCGTCACCGGGACACGGCTCCGGCCGGGAATGCTCCCCTTTTCCTCACCCATCTTTGGTTTCCATTTTCATCCTTTTCTCATCTTGATCCTGCAGAAAAAGGCAAAAAAATGGGAAAAGGAGATGGAAAACGCAATCACAGTGTGGCCAAAATCCTGGGAAATCCCCCCA